TATATATATAAAATCTTTCCAGAGGAAAGTAGTGAGAGTATTTTAAGTCATGTAAAGGAAAATCATTTGGGTCAGAGAGCCAATAAGTGCTCAGTATTTTCTTAGTCACATCTGCCATGCCTAGTAGAGCACTGTGGCCCTATCAGTAACCACCAGTAATCCTGACAGAAGTCCCAACTCATTTTTTATCCCTGTGTTGAATATGATACCAAAGACTCAAAAATCAGGGAGAATCTTTTACAAAGCCCCTTTTTATTTACTTGTAAATAAAGGGAGGATTTATTTACATCCTCCCTTAATATTTATTTAATATTAAGTGCCAATACCTGTTATCTGGGGTATAATGAATTGTCACATAGTAGAACTAGTAGTGTTGCTAGTATTAGTGTCAGCAGCTAACCCTGATTATTTACTCCTCTGTTCTAATGCTTTGCATATGTAATATACACATATCAATTAAGTCTCTCAACAAACATATCAAATAGGAAACCATTATCCTCATTTTATAGATGAGGCTTAACTTGCCCAGGGTCATCCAGCTGATCCCTGACAGGTCAAGCAGAGGACACTGGAGTACTGAAATGTACCTTTGCACACCCCTACAGGTGTTTATGCTGGACACCCAGTGCTCACCAAAGACACCAAACAACTTTGACCATGCTCAGTCCTGCCAGCTCATTATTGAGCTGCCTCCTGATGAAAAACCAAATGGACACACCAAGAAAAGGTAAGTACCTAAATCTCAACTCATAGAGTGCTTATGAATAAGAATGTTCATTCACTTCCAGTTCTCATGCATTGTAATCCAAGCTTTGGCCAGGAATACTGAAAACATCTGTGGAGTCATTTAGCAAAGGTTTTCATAAAAACGGTTAGCCTTGTAACCAAATTCCCCACATTTCATATGTATTAGGTTGCCCAGGTTGCCACAGAAAGTACCACAGACTGGGTGACTCAAACAGCAGAACCGTATATCCCACAGTTCTGGCACCTAGAAGTCAGACATGAAGGTTTCCTCCGAGGTCTGTCTCCTTGACCTGTAGATGACCATTTTCTTCCTGTGTCTTAACAGGGACTTCCTCTGTACGGGTCTATATCTGAATTTCCTCTTCTTATAAAGACACCAGTCATTTTTGAATTAAAATTAACCCTCATGACCTCATTTTGAATTAATTACCTCTTAAAAGACCTCTTCTCCAAATATAGTCACATTCTGAGGTTAGGACTTCAACATATGAATTGGGGGGAACACAGCCCAACCCATAATGTCATACACTTACTATCTTAAACAAAAATAGGGGCCGGGTGCGGTGGCTCACAACTCTAATCCCAGAACTGCAGGAGGATCACTTAAGCTCAGAAGTTCGAGCACAGCCTGAGTAACATAGTGAGAGCCATCTCTACAAAAAAGTAAAAAAATAAAAATTTAGCCAAGCATGATGGCATGCGCCTGTAGTCCCAGCTGCTCAGGAGGCTGAGGTGGGAGGGTCACTTGAGCCCAGGAGGTCAAGGCTGTAGTGGGCATGATTGTGCCACCGCACTCCAGCCTGGGCAACAGAACAAAACCTTCTCTCATTAAAAAATAAGAAGTAAATTGAGGCATGGTTCTGATTGTTTCAGTGAGAAGCGCATAAACCTCCCCAGGAACAATAATGGCTATTGGAAGACCAAAAGGTCTATGCTCTGCCCCAGGAAACTTGCCCTTTCTAAACACTATCATCCTCCCTTAAAAATATCGTTCTAGATTTGAGGATGAAGGCAATGACCAAGATTTCCCACTTTTAAACTTCTGACACATTAATAGTAATGCTAAGTATTTGAGCACTCCATGTGAAACACAGTGAGGGCACATACAGAGAGGCTTGGGTCCCTTGCCCGAGGACACACAACTGCAAAGAGGTGGAGTCAGAATCAAAACTGGCTCTGGGCTGGGCGCAGTGCCTCACACCTGTAATCCAAGCACCTTGGGACCCAAGGCAGGCGGATCACCTGAGGTCAGGAGTTTGAGACCAGCCTGGCCAACATGGTGAAACCCTGTCTCTATTAAAAATACAAAAATTAGCCGGGCATAGTGGTGTGCACCTGTAATCCCAGCTACTCAGGAGGCTGAGGCAGGAGAATCCCTTGAACCTGGGAGGCGGAGGTTGCAGTGATCATACCACTGTACTACAGCCTGGGTGACAGAGCGAGACCCCTGTCTTAAAAGAAAAAAAAAAAAAAACGAGGTCTGGTTGGGCATAAGGCCTCTGCCGTTTCCCATTTCAAGGAGAGAGTTGCTGCAGTAGACTGAATGTGTCCCCCAATATTGATGTATTTTACTCCTAACCCCCAATGTGATGATGTTAGATGGGCCTTTCAGGAGGAAATTCGGTCTTGAGGGTGGAGCCCTCATGAAAGGGATTCGTGTCCTTAAAAGAAGAGGCAGATCCCTTGCCCTCTTTCTGCCATGTGAGGATACATGGAGAAAATGGTCATCTGTAGTCTGGAAGAGGGCCTTCACCAGAAGCCACCCATGCTGGCACTCTGATCTCAGACATCCAGCCTCTAGAACTACAGGAAACCAATTTCTGTTGTTTGTAAGCCACCCAGTCTATGGTATTTGTTACGGCAGCCCAAATAAAGATAGTTGGTATCATTTCACAAGCTCTGGGTGATTTGTCCAAAAGTTAGCTGGGTCAGGCATGCTGGCTTATGCCTGTAGTCCCAGCTACTCAAGAGGCTGAGGCAGAAGAATCGTTTGAACCCAGGAGGCGGAGGTTGCAGTGAGCTGAGATCACTCTGCACTCCAGCCTGGGTGGCAGAACAAGACTTCATCTCATAAAACAAACAAACAGGTAGCTGGGTTAGCAGGGCAGTTTGATTAATATAACAATTATTTGGGTGAAATTTCTAGGTAATAATTTTTTGGTCAATTATTGGTACATACAAAAAAAAATGTAGAATGTTCAAAAGTTATGAAGCATGAATAAAAAATAAATGTGAACCAGTCACCCAACTTCAGCAATAAAACTCTACCAATTCTAGTCTGTTTCCCTCAACCACCAGTCACTGATTTTTAAGTGTTGGTCATTTTTTTATCTACAAAAGATTGTTCAATCCTTTGGCATCTTTAAGCATTGATTTACTTCAGAATTTCAGTTCTTTTATTCCTTTTTTCCTATTTCTAATTCACATTCAGCCAGTTATTCTTGCTGAAATATTTTTGATGTAAAAGTAGGAAAAAGGAATAGGTTGCATTCAAATTATAAATAAAACATAGGAGGAATAGCCTAATATCCTTATATTATTGGTTTTAAAAGGTTACAGTTTGAAAATATAGCAACATGGCTCATAAATTTTCCTAGCATGTTTAATAGGCAATTGCCCACTCATTGTAGTTAGGCAAAACAAAATAAGCATATTAAATTATTTCACCAATCCCACTGGTCACTGAGGCAAAAGACATTCCTTAACATTCTTTAGGAGCTCTCAGCCAAACTCTCTATGCTTTGCATTCTTAGATTTGACTCTTGTTTGCAGGGGTAATTGTTAGTTCAGTATAGGATGTAGTGGAAGATGAGTTAGACCTATGGAAAACTATATGCTGGCCAGGTGCATACTTTAGATGTAATCCTAAAACCAGATTACAGCATTTAAGTAGAGAAACCTGTGTTAGTTGGTTTGGGTTTGTTTTAATAGCCTTGACATTGATAGCCCCAAGCTTTACTTAATCCACATAATCTTAATTAGTACTTTAAGATATATATATATTAGCGATTCGCAGAGCAAGATGGCCGAATAGGAGCAGCTCCAGCCTCCAGCTCCCAGTGCGAGTGACACAGAGGACGGGTGATTTCTGCATTTTCAACTGAGGTACTGGGTTCATCTCACTGGGGAGTGCCAGACAATCGGTGCTGGTCAGCTGGTGCAGCCCAACCAGCGAGAGCTGAAGCAGGGCAAGCCATCGCCTCACCTGGGAAGTGCAAGGGGGAAGGGAATCCCTTTTCCTAGCCAAGGGAAACTGAGACACACAACACCTGGAAAATCGGGTAACTCCCACCGTAATTCTGCGCTTTACCAAGCATCGTAGCAAACGGCACACCAGGAGATTATATCCCACACCTGGCCCGAAGGGTCCCATGCCCACGGAGCCTCCCTCATTGATAGCACAGCAGTCTGAGATCTGACTGCAAGGCAGCAGCGAGGCTTGGGGAGGGGCGTCTGCCATTGCTGAAGCTTAATTAGGTAAACAAAGCAACCAGGAAGCTCAAACTGGGTGGCCCCACTGCAGCTCAAGGGGGCCTGCCTGTCTCTGTAGACTCCACCTCTGGGGACAGGGCATAGCTAAACAAAAAGCAGCAGAAACCTCTGCAGATGTAAATGACCCTGTCTGACAGCTTTGAAGAGAGCAGTGGTTCTCCCAGCATGGAGGTTTAGATCTGAGAACAGACAGACTGCCTGCTCAACCCTGACCCCTGAGTAGCCTAACTGGGAGACATCCCCCACTAGGTGCGGACTGACACCTCACACCTCACATGGCTGGGTACACCCCTGAGACAAAGTTTCCAGAGCAAGAATCAGACAGCAACACTCGCTGTTCAGCAATATTCTATCTTCTGCAGCCTCCACTGCTGTTACCCAGGCAAACAGGGTCTGGAGTGGACCTCAAGCAATCACCAACAGACCTACAGCTGAGAGTCCTGACTGTTAGAAGGAAAACTA